CTTGTGGCCTGTTATAAACTAGTCAGGGGGGATCAGCAGGCATTGGGGGAGTCACTGTTCCCCTGAGCACCGCCAGGAGTGACCAGGAATAAAGGTCACAAGCTGGCAGAGGGTAGGTTTAGGTTGGACATCAGGAGGCGATATTTCACAGTCAGGGCGGCTAGGGTCTGGAACCAACTTCCAAGAGAAGTGGTGCAGGCTCCTACCCTGGGGGTTTTTAAGAGGAGGTTAGATGAACACCTTGCTGGGGTCGTTTGACCCCAGTACTCTTTCCCGCCATGGCAGGGGGTTGGACTAGATGATCTGCTCAGGTCCCTTCTGACCCTAGAAACTATGAAACTATGAAATAGTCTAATGCAAAGATTCTCATGTTGTCTATACTGAGCATCCTTTTAAATGGTGCTGCTAATCTTTGAATATTTATCTCTTATAAATTATCACCTTAATTACAACACTTAGTAAAACTGCTTGTGATCAAGTAGGTGATTGCAGCAATTTTTGTTTATGAGATAATAGATCTCTTTCTTGGTGGGGTTAGGGTAAACATTAAGGTTACCTCTTCTGGCTGCATATTCCTTTAAACATCAAAACACGTTCAGTTGCCACAGCTCTTTTAACAATAAATAGATCTTTAAAGTTACATAGCCATTGTAGACTCAGAACAAATTAGGTTAGATGACAAAAATAATGTTGTTTTCTGAAGTATATTCTTATATAAGTGCTCTCTGCATTCATCTGGAGTTTATACTAACTATGGCCCCAGTTAGGCCATACTAAGGTCAGAAGGACTGGTGTATACACAGAGTCTGGAGCTTTGATGAAGAAGTCTGATCAGATGTTATAAACTGAATCACCCAGGGCCTATTATTATAGAGATTCTTCCAAATTTGCTCCTCCACCATAGCCTGTCTGTCTGGACTTGCAGTATCTTTCAATTAGCTTGCCAACATTTAAGTAAAGTGGCCCATTTGTGGCTAGAATATGAGGACTAATATGCATGTCCAGCCCATTCCATTTCTAATTTGGCATCCTCCTCAGTAGAAAGCTGGGTTTCCTGTAAGAATGCTAATTTTAGCTTTTTTCCATTTTGAGAAAAGGTCTTTTTCCTTTTAATAGGATTATTTATTCCTTTAACATTCCACAAGCACATTCTAAGTCCTGTATCTCTTATTAATTTCTACAGGCACTTGTTCAACTGAAGATCATGCATTTGTATATAACAGGCTGACTGTGTTTGCCTGAACACCCCACCCTGTCAGAAGATATCGATCCTGCTGGGAAAGGTTAAGTCAGATCTGCTGATTTAGAGATTCATGTGACTTCTGAATTCACTGGAATATAAGGGCAGCAGGAATGGCTTCCTGGAGAGGAATGGAAAAATTTATACTTCCTGCAACTATTCTTAACTTTTTAAAGCAACACAATGCATAATTATGTGCTGTTTATAGCACTGATTCTAGGCTATGGCCAAGAAGTGCACATCGCAACTCAGGAACTATTCCTTGATTCTGTGCCATATGTCAGTCCTATACCCTATACTCCAGTATCTGGAGGGCTGCTGCAAGGTACACCAGCTGTCAACAACCTGCAGGGCAGCCAAGATTGCCAACAGGTATAGAACCCCTGGCTACGTTCCCAACAGCTGGCGCAGGAGTTGGGGTGATCCTCCAACGACCTGCTATATCAGTGCTCCAATATGTGCTACAGTACAGTGCAAAGTTAGCATGCTGCTGGGGAGAACTTGTTCTGTTTTATGTGGGAGGTTTCACCTACACAAACATTTACTTTGCATGTCCTAGTAAATCACCATTTACTGATAATACAATGCCTTCCAAAATAAAATTATAAAAAGGCCAGCACAGAGGGGTTGTGGACAGAAGTCAATACGGGTGAGTAGACAGTAACTGGTTTCATATAGGGCCTTTATAACTAGAACAGTGCTAACTATATTCAATGTTATCTGTGTGTTTCTCTTCTGACAAAGTATGAGATAAGCATATGGAACTGTGGGATCATTAAGTGATTTAAGTTTCCTTATGTTCAACTTCACTGAAGTTATATGACTTAAAGATGGAAGTGATTGCATTACATGACACTAGTAAGCTATTGTATAAATTATTATCCCAATACAGTACAATAGCCTTGTAGGTTGCAAAATGGAAATCCAAAGGTTATTGTTCTCCTATTCTATCTCTCCAAAGCCTACCTAGAGTTTCTGAATGGAGATGTACTGTTGAGAATACCTTTACACTCTCCTGGGAAAAGGATAGTGAATATCTTGTTGAAGTAAAATATTTGTTGTTTCTGGAAATCAGGTGCCT